GGAGAAAACGGAGATCATGTCCGCGGAAGGAGAACCCATTCTCAGGTCCCTGTGATACTGAACATGTAGTACCTTCTTTAATCCTGTTTGAAGTCATTTCTGAAGATTTTTTAATTGGTAGACATTTTCCATTTTACTTCAGTGACGTCATCATGGAACTCCATTCCTGATCCTGTTAGTGCTGGGTGTAGTGTGTACGTGTGTTGGTGACGGCTGACGTACCAAATCACGTCATTTAAGGGCCTGTCACATACTGCCGATGTACCTCGCCGGAGCAAAAAAAATAATAACGGCGAGAAAATCGACAGAGCTCCGGCGAGAAAGCACTCGGAAAAATCAAAATTGACCGTAGCAATACCGATGTAGTACCGGCGTTCCCGTTGTGATACCGTTGTTCTTCCGATGTAAGAGCCGATGTGCTACCGAATAACACTTTTCTGTCACCGATGCGCCGCCGATGTTCTTAGGATGTGCCACCGCTGACCAGAGCTATAGCGGATATATCGTTGCGCTGCCGATGATACGGTAGTACATCGTTAGGACATCGGCGGAGCATCAGTACTACTTCGGTGGTATTCGGTAGTACAACGGTATCACATCGATACCAGTACGGTACACATAAAGGCCACCGGAGAGACACCAATCCATTGCGGGGCGCTACCGATGCTCTACCGACATTAACGAAGCCACAAAGGAGTACTACCGATGCACTGCCGTTGTAGTCCCGTTGCTCGCTCCGGTAGCGCTACGGCGGAAAGTTTTGAGCATGTTCAAAAAATTATACCGTCGCCTGTCATTGCTATTTTTTTCGCCGATGTCCTTACGATGTACTACCTTTCTTAGCGATGTGATGCCGTTGCGCTGCCGTACTAGTACCGATTCCCGAAAATCGCCAAATCCGTGCTCCGGTATAGCTCCGGCGACCCAAATCGGCTAGGTGTAACAGTCCCTTTACATCAATTTCACGTGCAGACACAGATTCTACGAATCTGAATAAACAAACTACAGTCAAGCTAGTCTGCACGTTAAACATTCTACAAATTGCGAAATAATTAACTCATACCTAGAACTTCTTTCAATTACTCACAGACAACGCTAAGTTCGTTTATTTTCATTATTTTGCAATGACGTCATATGTTATGCTAACAGACTTTTTAGCGCGTGCCTGCAATCTTTCTCAGTAAGAGGGGTGAGGCCTATCTTTGAGATAGAGCACGAGAAATGAAACTGTCTTATCTTGATATGAAAGTGAATTACACCATGAACTATCTTTTCGGAAGAAAATCTACGGGACTCCTAAACCATACTTACGCTGGAAATTGTTACGAGTAATTCATTCCGTGACTTTAAAGATAATTTCAGAGGTTAGTACAGAATAGCAGGTGTCCTATAGCAATCTACTATAATTAAACCAAGTTACCTCATCAGATTCGACTGTAGAAGGGCATACCCTACAATATCAGACTCCGTACGTACCACTGCTAAAAAAAAGTGTCCTTTTTAACTAAATTATAAAGTTTTCAACATATATAGCATTTCATTGTTTGTTATTCATTGATCATAATTTAAAATTAAATGATAAATATGTATTTTTCACCTTTATCTATGATAATCGAGTAAATGACTAAATATCTATAATATCATTAGATGTTAGTGATATGAAACAAAAGTGTTTTAATACAAACAATTATATTGAGGTTAAGAGAATATGGAAAATGTACCCGGGGCTGTAGAATTTCAGTAAGGACCGATGCTTGCTGAGATCCTGATCTGATTGGCCTGGAAACTTTGTAAAAATCGACACTGACATTGTCCATGTAACACTGTATTATAGAGCATACTTTCTAGATACCGTACCACTTAACCATGCACATATTAAGACAGAGCAAAAAAAAGGGTTGCTACACCAAACATTTACTTTTAAATAAAGCAGTTTGCGAAAAAACAACATAGCGAGTTTATTTAATAATTACTTATTTCCGTGAGGCGTTTCCAGTTGGCGACTTTTTTAAATGAAGATAATCCTTTCTCCGAGATAAAAACGTACTCCCGCATTATATCGATATGACGTTATTCAACAACGTCATGCGACATGGTCCTGATCATTTTGAACTCCAACCATTTATTTTATACACTTTCTATAACCGAAATAGATACGCCCGTGTCGGGCAGAGTTTTCTCTTGTCCCTTTGAGTATTTGATAATTTAAAAATGTCTATCTTTGATCCGATTTCCGTGTCACAAAGATAGACATTAGTGACGTGACGTCACGAAATCGGGAATATCCTTATACTCGATTCGGAAGCAACCGACGTGACATATGATCATTGAAAACTCAAGTATTTCATTCACCGTACAAGCATAACAGATTATATGATTTATGCACAGACGATGTTCTCCTATGCTTAGTCATGTTGGTCGGTTGATTTGTTTATAAAATACTCAGGAAAGTAGATGTTTTCATAATGGTTGCCACTCGACATATCTGTTATGGTTCTGTAGCTAGTTCTAGCAATTGAAAAATTCAGAAACCAGTAGTGTAGGTTGTACCCACTTTGAAAGGCCCTTGCGTGGTACACGTACAGGTAGGAGAAGTACATATTAGACTAGAAAGACAAAACCTGCCCCGTTAAAAGTACAACGCTTTTACCTTTCCTTTCGGATGATAGTTTGACTGTTATGGCGCCACTTATAATCAAACAGTTACGACAAAGGGAGAGTAGAAAATAACACCTATCTAACACACTTTTTATTTCATCAGATATGATGTCGAGACCAGAAGCTGCATTCCTATCAGCACAATTACCGTCAGACGTTCGAAACATACAACTTTCAAAATGCGGACACGTTTAACTGACTCTTATAAATGGCTATTGTGTAAGAGCATGCATTCCCACCAATAGAATAAACAGCAGAAACAACTGTTACTGATATAGCATAAAAAGCAACGAAGGACAGCAGAACATAGGTAGATTAAGAAACGAATGTAGATGTGCTCCTGCTGAACGCTCAGCAATTTAGGGGTGGGACGACTGGTTCGCCCGTTGTCAGTATAGTGTGACCGGGTGGGGTGTCCTGCTGGGTGTCTTCGGCAGTATGTTTCAGTGAGGTAGCACTATAAAGTCGGCATCAGTTCCGCGATATCACAAGGAGACAAACACGAACATATCGCAGCCTCCCAAAACACACACGCATACACTACACGCATGCACCTTGTACACAGGGGAGGCCGTCCTTAAATGACCATACTGTAGCTGTTGATAGGATGTGAAACAATACTGAACCAAACCAAACCGTGATAACACGCCAATACTGACACCGTATAGCGATATGCTGTGAAGTTGTTGTATTTAGTATGACGTCATGATAAAAATAAGTTTCCGCTAGAATATTCTGTTATTGAATAATTCCCGTGTAAGTTTTTTTTTCTCTGCTGAACTTGTCTCAATCAATAACAACTCAACAGAGATTCTGTTTATATTAGTTATGGTGTACAAGCTTACTGCAAAAATACTATATGAGATGTCACGTTTGAGTGTAACAGCCTAAAATGCATACCGCTTTACCGCTTAGAACGAGCCAACGTCAGTTTAAGTAATGCAACACTTGCATATGCTAAATGAGTTTGGAGCAAGATTCGTGATATATATATAGAATCAGATAGACGTTTTCCAATGTTGCCAATTTCGAATCTAGAGCTTAAAGGCAACAGTGTTATGTTGGTGGTTGTGTTTAGGACTGTATATTATCTCAACATCAAATGTGGGTAGCCGTAGGAACGCTAACAGACATGCTCTTATCATTAAATCTATTATTACAAAGTATGGTTCACTTTGAAAGTCTGTAACAAATTTTCAAAATATGTGAAACGTTCCAAAATAGTGTAGAAAATCCCGAAGTTTATTAATTTGTCGTAATATTACTTCATGCTAAAAATTTATATATTTCAAAAAATTAACAAGGAAACAAAATTTAAAATGATGATTATGTGTGCAGTAGGCTAACAAAGCTGTAAACGACTTGGTCCTGTAGACAATATGGTTGTTTGTGCTTGATACTAGTACAAACCCAGTTCCTTACCGATCCAACAGGTTTGGACTTGTAAAGGTAAGCAGTGTATTAGCGATTGTTTCAGAGTACTAACTTGTTACTGTGGAAACCATTTTGTTTGTTCTGACATCAAACTTTTGATTACATAATAAAATGCTCGCCACTAGCTTCAAAGCGGAAATAAACACCAAACAATTAAGTCAGATAGGAATCCTTGTATTGTTCCCTCGGAACATTGTTAATGGAATGCCTGTGAGATGTAGAACGCCGGCGCCGTGTCTACATCATTCATAGCATATATATATTTATCATGTGAATACCGTGTTATGCAGTGTTATAAAGCCATCACATAAGTTATGTTTATGTAACGTGTGAAATATCACTCCGGAAATGACGTTACAATCGAATAGAAACAATCAATAGGACGTCACGTCATTTTGAAGCGAACGCAATGTTCATCGTTTCAGAGGCGGCTAAGAGCAAAATATTTTCAGATCACAATTATACAGTCTCGTTCAACCAGACGCTTGTTCTGCGTAGCTTGCGCAGACAACAAGAATCTGGGTGAGCGAGACTATCTTATTGATTTGTAAAGGAAAGCAACATGTCAAATAAATTGTCATGGAATACCTGAAAACAAAAGAAAGACCGTAGGGAAACGAGAAAAGAACATGAAGAGGAAACATTATCCTGTTAAGTTTACACATAAGTGATAAAGCGGCCGGGGTAGATGTCCAGACAACGTGTCATTATAGGTTAAACTTTCCGTACCAACGATGATTCTCTTATATTTGTAAGTTTATTTTTTAACCTTTTTAATGTAAATGGTACCATTGCAGAGAAGATATTTTCCACTCGAAAATGTTTTCAACTCGAGTTATCTCCCTTCCACATAGACGATTGAAAGCCATGGAGTAACTTCCCTTGTGAGGTTTCTAATTGTTTGTTGTTGTTGAACGTCGATCGGAAGCTTAAGCTTGTGAAGACGTCTAAATATCCTCTTCTGACTTGATACGTTACTAGCAGAATAGACTGCCAGCAACGGACTCCGGTTGCGCAGGTATTAACACTATTTACCATGAGAGCATTTTATGCTTTGCGGCCCACAAATTGGACATTGGTTTTTATGTTATTCCTGTAAGGCAACCTGGTCAATTGTAGGGTTTGGAATGTATAGGTCCAGAGATCGACCCCTGCAGTTTTCTACTTTTTTTTTATTAACATTTCTATTTTTGAACAATTAAATTTCGTAAACTACTACAATTAATATGTTTACACAGCAACATGGGATTTTATGGATTATTTCTTTTGATAATGTTTCAAAATAGTGAGATAATTGTGTTATAATTAGGGGATAACTGAATTTTTTAATTTGTGGCGGTATGTCGTGGTTAAACTATCGCAAATTATTTTGATCGACCAATCAGATGTCGTTTATTATTTTGATTGACCAATCAGATGTCGTTTCACATCTCAAATAAATTAGAATATCGTTTAACTTGTTGGTACCCTTTAGCGTAGATAAAACACACAGAGTGAACATGGAGTATATAATACGGCCTCCGCTCATCCTGGGGACACGACTTATTGTATTAAACATACACGT